CCCCCCCCCCCCCAAAAAAAAAAAAAAAAATCTTGGTTTTTGGTTAAAAATTCGGCTGTGCCGCTAGGTTTTTTCATTTTTTTGGTGTTGAGCTGTGTTTATGGTTAAATTCTGGGCCAGTCGTGGGATTGTTTGAATTCCTAGCCGATCATGGGATTTTTTTTGCCAAAGATTTTCGACTTACCCTGTGTGATATTAGTTTTGGGAAGCCCTGATGATGCGGGACTTCGTACCATTTTCAGCTTTCTGTTTGTATATTTTTATGAAAAAGGAAGCAGAGGTTAGGATTTTTTTTCCAAAGATTTTCGACTTATCCTATGTCATATTAGTTTTGGTGCACCCTCATGACGCGGAGCTTCGTACCATTTTCAGCTTTCTGTTTATATATTTTTATGCAAAAAAAAGTAGAGGTGGCTTCTAGTCAGGAAAAAACTCTGTGCTATCGGGACGATTTTTCGCACTCAGTTTTAGCGCCTAGACCTGAATCTATCGAATTTTGTGGCATTTAGAGTCCACAGAGCCTGCGGATTTTGATGTGACTCATTTTTTGTCTTGGAAGAATTTCTTTTTTATAAAAGTTACGTTTTTCAAGTAAAAAATGTGGTTTTTTTTCTTCTCTGTTGGGACATTGGGAAAGTTTTCGCTTAAGCCATTGGATAAAGTTGTTTCCGATTTACAAATCTGATTGATAAATCACCGTGTAATGTTGTTTTAAGTGAACGGATCAAGAAAAATCACGAAAAAGGCGATGAATTCTCGATGAACAGTTCCGATAAGTGCTTGTATATGGAGGAGAAAATTGAGGAGCTGATGAAAATGCGAGTGAAAAATATGGAAGTTGTTCACGATGCTGAAATCAAGGCAAATGGTAAGCAAATTTTCATTTTTATCACAAATGTTGCCCTAGTCAGCTTCCATCAAAAAACAGGGGGCAAAAGCGCCTCGGCTTTTTATGGACCTCGTCCAAAAACTTTGTTTTTTTTTCTCTGCTTCTCTTTTCCTGCGTACTCTTTAATGTGGTGCTTTTTTTTTGATTTTGGTGCTTAATTTAGTGTCTGAAAATTTTTGCGTTCCTCTTATTTTGTATAGGTGTTTTTTTCGATTTGCTTAAGGCTATACATATATATATATATCTTTAATTGGAGGTTTTTCTTTTTTTTTTAAACGATATTCAGTGCTTTCCTATTTTCCCAATTATTCAGCGTGTAAAAAAGAAAAGGCTGAAAAGTCAACCAAATTGAGACTCTTTGATTTTCTTGGTTTTTCGGCTTCTTATGGGTAAAATCGTTCCAAAAATTTTAGGTTTATGGCAAGGTATCGGTGCTTTGTTGTGAAGAATATTACGTGTTTTTTTTTTTCGGACCATCAAACTAAACCCAGGTACAGAAAGGATCCCTGCATTAGGTGCACCTTCAGCTGTTGTTCCAGCCTTCAGTTGTAGTTTGGAAATTTTGCTAATTTATGAAACAAAAACTTAGATTTGCTGGAAAAAATGCGGCGTGATGTTCGAGCAGCAGAGCAAGTGAGGCGACGACAGAACGAAATATCGAAAAATCCTCATTTTGGAAGAAAGCAAACGCTGGATTACTTGTTTGGAATCTGTGCCGAGCACGAAAGCACTGTTGCGGAATTTCGAGAACTGTTACAAACACTGGAAAACAAAATCTCAAACAAGCTGAAGAAGGTTTGGTTACTAATGGCTGTCGTCATTGCTGCAGATTACTGTTATCACAACTTAGCTTTATAACAATAGTTATTATTGCAAAATGGAACAAATCTCCGGCCAAAAGTCGAGTGGCTTTCCACATTTGCTTTCTGTGAGAGACGGAGGTACGCGGAAATTAGCCTTAGCAGTAATAATACGTCGTCTTATGCACGTCCTACCTTTGCCACCCAGTACCGGTTCAGCCTCTACATTTCCAAATTCCATCTGCCATAGGCCCCAAACGGCGCGTGGGGTCTTTTTCTTATCCCTGTAAAGATAGCTGTGTGTAGTGGTGGTGGCGCAGTAGTGCACATCATTGAATTGCTATTAATGGCGAGTATAAGTTTGGCCGAACCGTCATATATCTAGCCCGTTATAGTACAACGTGAGAACGGGCCGAACCGCGAACTTATAAAATGCAGCACAGCCTGGCTCAGCGAGAATCAGCCGCGAACATGAAGTGAAATCCTATTGACCCGGAGTTGAGCATAAATATGGTAGGAATGAGAGGGGGAAAGAGAGGAGGAGGAGATGATTAAGACAGCAGAACTGTAGGACTAAGAACATGAGGCATGAAACTGTATGTCATATTGTAGAATCATATAAAAAGGAATTATATAGGAGAAAAATCTGCCTGTGTTTCATCCCTTAGCTGAAAAAACAGAGAGCAGCTTGGTGCGAATAAAGGCGGGATTTATCAGTACAGTTTCCGAACTGCTATGTAATAAAATCAGGTAATAAGCTGCTGAAGAGAAAACTGGTGGAAATGAGAAACAGTAGAGGAAAGCCGAATTAGCACTTAAGACACAAAGTAAAGACAAGATTAAGAGAATAGTAAAAGGGATAAGAAAACAGTGAAAGGCATAAAAAAACGGGCAAAACTTGCGTAAAGTATGAAGGTATCGCCCTTGCTTGGCTTAGCAGCTGGATCTTCTTGCGTCGTCATAATTCAGTTATCTGAAAGAGATTCACTAAACACGATAAGCACAGCACTCAACATTTTTTCAAGGGGCATTATAACAATCGGAAAGTAATAATGTACAAACTTTCCTGATGCTGCGATCGTTACAGCACACAAGTTTGTTAAGTATGGCTCGACTCCTACAAACAATCTCGTCAACTTGGATTGACGAAACGTCTTATCTCGCTCTCACCTTCTTCAATCTACACTACTACTTTCTCCTGAACTCCTTCACACCTGGAAGCTGCAATCTGCTTGAAGACTAATTAATGTGTCACGCTGAGTGTGGTTGATTGTATTGTTGCGTAATTATCGTAGAAAAACCGGGAACTTTGTCAATTTACACCCTCCCTTTCCCCATCTTTCCTTATACCTCATATAAAATTGCGAAAATTTACGAATAAATCAATTTTTTGGAAGATTTTAAAATCATTTTTAAATTACTATGCATTAAATCATGAGTAAATCAATTTTTTTTAAATTTTTTTTTGAAAAAAAAGATAAATTTTTCAGAAAGATTTGGTAACGAAAAAAGATTTGCAAATGCATTTCGAGCATTACGATCGTGCATTCAAAGTAATCTGCGTAGATGTATGCCGATGCAAAACTGCTGTTCAGGTATTTCTCATCGCTTTTTCTCTTCGATAATCCAAATTTATTGGTTGTTTCATGCGCTACTTTTTGTAAAACGCTGATGTAAAGGAGCCGTGAAACGAAATTGGCTCACCACTGATTGCTTTGTTTTTTTCGGTTTTTTTTGTCGACCAGCGTTATTTCCCCATGGCTTGACGGATTTTTGCGCCCAGAATTGGTATTTTGATTTTTAGCTAACGTAGTATGTGATTGCGGGAGATTTTTAGGGGTTTCGCATTTTTGCGGGATTTTTTGTCCCACAGAAAGGTTATTTGGATTTTTTTTTAGTCTTTATCACATGAGATTTTTTTCGCTTTTTCTTTTAGTTTTTTCGTTTCGCCTCTTTTTTCTTCTGCTTTCTCACCCGTTCTCATGTCTTTTTTCTTCCAATTTTTACCTTTTAGTTCACATTTGTGTATGCATTTGCCCTTGATTGACGGGTGCTTTGTTATCTAGGATGTCAAAGATGCGTTTTTGGAACGGCGGCGGCGTACAATGCCGTACATATCGAATCCTTTCGAGGAGAGAAGGCCGAATCGTTTTGAAAGACGTTCATCATCGGAAACAAGATTAGTAGGTGAGTGGCTTTTTGATGGAATTAATGCTTTTTTGTCAGTGTTTTTATTTGGAGAAACGATTCGGTTCCCGAAACTTTAACGGATCCATAATTTCAGTTTCTTTTACTTCAAAAAATTATACTTTATTACATTCTTAATATCATTTCTGTCTCTCTGTTCCTGTCTATTTTCCGTCTTTCGTGTGATGCAATACTTCCCATAATCAGTTTTTGCTTTTTTGCTTCATTATTGTTAATGCTTCACTAGCCTTTAATTTAATCCACAAGTTTTTATTTATCACAGTGTGATTGTTTAAATTTGCAGTGAATTTTTCGGGATAAAAATAACTAACGGCATATTTCTTGATTTCGATTATACAACCCAGAATTGGCATAGTTCCAAAATTAGTGTTTCGCTAATGGCATGTTCTCATTGATGGCAGCAAAATTTTGCAGGTGCCGATGCATTCCCGTCGCAAGTGACAATGATGAAAATTGGAGAAATGGCAAAATCCTCAACCGCAACCCAGCAACAAGGTTTGTCTCAGAAGTGTTCAGAAAATGTTTCTTTCCCTGAAGCCCCGTGGGCAAAAACATAGATGCTTGTGTAAGAAACTGATGTAGTTCAGAATGCAGGCAAGTTCCTGCAGCACCAGTAGCATCGGATCTCCATACCCGTTGCTTATGTAACCTTGGCATTTTCGTTGATAGCAGCAGTGCTTGTAATACTAACATAATGGCGATGATAATAATGATATTAATGATAATTGTGGTAATAGTGATTAATAATGGTAATTATGATGATGTCAATTATAATAGTGGTAATAATAATAGTAATTGCAATGATATTAATTATAATAATAGCAATTATAA